GTTTGAAAATGATATGACGCAAACTAAAATGTTCTCTTGTTTACTTTATCATTTATTTTTTTTAATATACTTGTTAAACAAGCCAAGCATGTGTCTGAAGTTGGGTTACATAAAGATCCCTACTTCCTGAATACCTTATAGACTCAACTTCCACTTTTACTCAGCTGTTTAAGTTCTTAGTCTTAGTCAAGTCTTGGATTCTGAACTGCAAGTTTAAAGGGGTACTTTAACTCAACCTTACATGGATAGGGCCAGGTAAGATATTAGATTTTCTAGAAACAGCAAAAAACCTTTAAAATTTAATAGAAATAAACTTAAAAAAACTAACACAGAAAGGCAGTTCTGTGAAGCCAAACAGTTTTCTGTAATCTTCTCCCTGAAGTGTCCACAACTGAAACACTGAGCCATTCTGCTAGGACTGCAAAAAAACCTAGAAGTGACATCAGTGAGAAACTGACAAAAAAGAAAAATGACTAGACTATGTTCACAGTCCAGGCAAGAGAAGTATAGAAACGGAAGCTAACAGCATACAGTAAGCTAGTAGGCCCACTCACCCAGCAGATGTGCCCCTTTCTTCAGGGGCTGAGCTTTATTACTCCAAACAAGAAGAGGTTATAATAAATTTGTAATAACATCATGGAAAATAGTGTTACAAAATACTTTGATAGATCCATCCCCACCACCCTGATAAAATCAAGTAGCCGCAAACTATTCCTGACACACATTTATCTAACCCACCACACACAAAACAAACAATACTGGTGAAAGTACAGCTTTGCCCATATATGTAGGACTACTCTAAGGACTTCTGTCAACACAGTTAGATGACTTATGGATCACAACTCTGCCAGGCTGGCTTAAGTTTGGGGTGGAGCCTTAGCCTCTATGGTTTAAGTGTAAAGCTAGGTTTTATTCCTACCTGTACTGGTGACTTTACTGAAATAGTCAAATACTCAAAGGAAATTTGGTGTCTCAACACCACCAACCTTTTAGGCACCTGGACACTGGATGGAATCCAGAGCCCTGAGTTATAATCATGAGCTCCCTATACAGTCTGATGGGGAGAGTATCTCAGAACAGCATGCCAAGACAAGAGGAGCTGCTTAAGAGAGGAGTCGATCCTAACCCTAGAGAGGGCCAGGACTTAGACACCTACCTCTAGCTGAGACTGACAACGCTGACTTCCTCTTGAGGTCAGGCACTCAGGTTACTTCTATCTTCTCTTTAAATATACCTGGTGCAATAGCAAGTGGTTGTGCTCCCCCCACCCCAGCCTCCACCCAGGGTCAGGAAGATCCAATTCATCCACTTCCTCTGGCAGAGAGCATTCAAACCTACTTCTCCTACCAATCAAGAGGAAGTTGGGCTGTGCTGTGGTGGGTGCACTCTCCACCCCTCCTGTTGAGGTTGTTCCACTACCTCGGCAATTAAAGATTAGCTGGACAAGAGAGGGAGCATGACTGTTTCCTAGTGGTTAGGACACTCACCTGGGAAGCTAATGCATTTTAAACTCAGAACTGTTCCATATAAAAGACAACCAATCCTAGCAGCTTGGACCAGAGCCCAAGTCTTTTCCCTCCCTGCAGCCACTAAGCCAGTGCTATGCTCCCTTTCTCTCTGACATTTAATTATGCCTGGCAAAGTAGCACAGATTCAAGCACAGGGGTGAAGAGGGCCGCACCCAAGTACAGTTTACTGCCTGTTAGGGCACCCCCTGGGAAGGAAGGAAAGAGATGTAGATTTGAAACCTCAGCCAAAAGAGGGAACTAAACCTGTCTCTCCCACAGCCTGGGTAAGGGATCTAACAATAAGGCTGTTGTATAAACAAAGAGTAGCAGCAGCAGCAGCAAACCTCAGGTGAAAGAGTATTATAAAAGACCACCAACTCCTTATATGGCTGATAGCAACCAAGTGAATCACAGCTGTCCAATGATTTAAATGCAAGGCAGCGCCCCTCATCCTCCTGTCAATATATCTGAAATAAGTGCAGCCTTTTCATGGTTTTACAAACTAAGTAGGATTACATGCTGTATATTGCCCATGGAAAATTGCTATTTTATAGGGAACTGTCTTTGAAATCACAAGCAGTACAGGGCTTTAAAATCAATTATTTCTCCGTATATATTCAGATACCAGAAGACTGGTACTTGCTACAAGACCCATCAATTCCCTTCTCTTTTTAACTTCCCAACTCAACATACAGCAACAGCTAGAGTAATTTTTTTCTGGATCTTGCCAGCTGAAGCAGTTACTTCCTCCTCTGGAGCAAAGAATGTTGTGAGATTCATGTGCATTTTCTAAAGCAGTTTAGAAAAAAAAAAAAAGATGCGAAAATGAAGCCCCTGCCTTCACTTGAACTTTATTAGGTCTATAACATACACTGCTGTTCAACTGGTCATTCAGCAACTACCTCTGAAGAACAGTCGATATAAAATTAAACCTTAATGACTTGAACTTCACTTACCCAAAACCTGATCCTAACCACAATTTTCAGACAAATCTGATAAGATAGTTTTACCTACTGTTGCCAGGATTGAGGAAGCTGCTCATACCAGGCGTGTAAAGATATATATGCACAAGCAGAGTATCTGGCCAGCAGGTTTAGAAGGCTACACACAAGCTTAGACACCAGGACTGCATAATCCAGAGGCTAACAATAGCTATCGTAATCATTCAACAGTTTCAGGGACCTTGAAGAGCAGATAATCACAGACCTACTCTATTTTCTGAAAATGAAATAAACACAGAACTTTTTTTTTTAAACCAGATACAGACATTTTACTGGATTTCATAACAAGCCCCAAGTACAATGCATAGCTCATGTGTGTAAGTACTGGAGTGCTCTTTGTGCTAAAAATAGATTGAGTCTTGCCAATTCAGGGCTTGCTCAGCATCATAAAGCTACAATGCCCAAACAACGTATCTGGTTGCTAACGAGGACCCAAGTGCACCACAAAAGTGGAGAAACATCTGAAAACATTGTGTGAAACAATCATTTTCTGAACTGAAGGTCTTTGGGTACTTAAAAGCTGTCTAGTATTTCTGCAGCATTTCAGTGGAAGCCTTCCTGTATCCCTTGTTTATGCTCATCCATTTCTCTTCCTCTTCAGTTTAATGTGAACTATGTTGCTTAATTCTGTGCTACCCAAGAGCAGAGTGGGGCTGCCTGTGACAGGCGGGTCACAAGATAAGCCCTGCACCATCTGAGGACACTATGATCCACTTTCTCTGTCAAACGTGGTGCTCTGATCCCCGCCCCGTGCCCTGGCTGCCGCTCTGCTTCCTGCTCCCCACCCCCTTCATGGCTGCTACTCCACTTTCTGCTCCCTGCCCCCCCACCCCAGCTGTTTCTCGGCTTCCTGCTCCCCACCCCGCTTCATGGCTGCTACTCCGCTTTCTGCTCTCTGCCCCGTGCTCTGACTGCAACTCCGCTTTCTGCTCCCCGCCCCGCCACCCCAGGTGCTTCTCGGCTTTCTGCTCCCTGCCCCAGCTGCCGCCCTGCTCGTGGCTCCCC